TCTGATCATTTCCCTGCAGCTGTCTGCTGCTGTGTCACCATTTTTGATAATTCCCTTACTGCACTGCCATGTCCTGCGAACACATGCGCAGAGTCTGAATTTCAACTGTGTAGCGTTGTTTTAAAATTGCACATCTAGAGCAAAATATAATATAATAATATAAAATAAAAGAGGAAGAAGGACTAACCTGCTGCAGGTCCAGCACCCGGGGCTGCACCCAGGTCATCTGCACCTTCTGGTCCACCTCATCAATGTTCCCTTTGATCAGGCCCACAGACAGAGCCTTCATCACCAGCAGCTCCACCTGCAGGAGAAATAAATACATTTTCATGTCGATAAAAACATATGTGAAAACTTCTTGGGTCTCCGGGGTTGGAAAAGCAAGGTGAAATTGACAAACTGTATTAAGTTGGATCGTGGCCTTATTGACATCTATCGACGGGCTGATTAAATGTACTCGTCATCCGACTCACCTCATTGACGGGGATTATGGCACTCTCAGAGATCTCGGTGAAGGTGAGCTGTCTGTGGTTTGCAGGACGAGTGAAAGTCATCTGAAAAAGAAAGGACACGTTTGAAGTGAATTAATATTCCTGTTTTTCAACCTTCACTGTGACATCACTTCTGTCACATGAGACATGTACGAAAACATGACGACTCTTTGAACAAACTACAGATTGAGTTAGTCAGTGTTTATTATCTATGTGACATCAGACTATCTAAGAGTGATTATTCCGTAGTCAGACCAGGAAGAGGCGCAGCGAAAATCAAATAAGGGTCACTTCAAATATGACTGAAATCTTGGTGCCAGAGCCTGGGGTAGTGTGTGTGACTAGTTAGCCGAGTCAGTTAATTGCCCTCTCACCGACTCATTGCAATCCATGTCTAATGTGGATATGTTTATAAAATGTGGGTTCTTCCTGTTTTTAAAATTCTAAGGTTTGTAATTTATCAATGGCACATATTTGTATTTCCAAGATGAATCCTTTGCATGCGTTTAATTCATGTCTGCAAGTGAATGCATTGATCCATTAAAATAAAGTCTGGTTAACTGGTTTTCAGTCCCACCTCCATCACGCAGAGCAGCTGGATCTTCTGCATCAGTTTAGCCTCATGTGCTGCAAGGTCAGGCTGGGAACAAGACAAGAAAATAAATCAGACAGTTGCCCAGTACCATGGATCATGTATAATCCTTTGATCCGGTCCTGTGCTATGAGTCGGCCTTCATACTGATGGTATCTTGAAGGTTGACATGTGTCCAACTTGGCTCAATTAGTTATTGAAGGTGTTTTGATCCGAGCTGCTACATACACAGTTACGGAGCTAAAACAGGCTTATCTCACCAATCAAGAATACAAAACAAAATGCTTGACAGTCAACAGATGTCCACCCAACTGTACTTTTGAAGAAAAAAGAAGCAGGACAATTTTACGGAAGATTGGCATTACATCCCTCTAGAGATTTTGAGAATCTTTGTAAAAGGCAACTGAAGCTGCGTACTAGGGAAGTTCTGCTTTTAAGCGTCACCCATCTGCAACTTCAAACTGCATGCACCCCTCAAACAGAGGCTTATTTAAATGCTAGATTGACAACTATTTGAGTTGATGATCCTTAATGAATCTGTTGAGCTGTTATAATAATGCTAATCACCTGTTGGCCCCAGGCAGACTTGAAGCTCTGGAACTTCTCCACATTTCCTCCGTTGAAGGCGTACAGTGTATCGATGAGCCACTGTTTGTCTGTGTTCCTCAGGGTCTCCAGTACAGGATGCATCAGCTGCAAGAACACAACAGCAATCGTCAACAAGAGCTCAACAGCGCTAATAAACAACATGATGAATACTGTGTTAAAACCCACAAGCTCTCCAAAGTTGTAAACTCCCTCTCCTAAGAGTCCAGCCAGCCCAAGTGTGAACGCCCGTTCCTGCTTCTCCGTCTCTGTGGAGCAAACAACAGCAGCATTAGATCAGCCAGCCACAAAAAATACTTTCTGTTCTCCTTCAGCCTTAAAACAAGTCTAGGTGTTTGATGGTGCTCACCTGGCAGGTCTTTAATTTCCACACATCCGAGGTAGCGCAGAGCGTCCTTGTAGTAGGAGGCGTGGTTCCCGATGATGCGGTAGTATTTGCTGGAGAGATCGTAAAACCGTCCGTGGACCGACGTCACCCCGGGCAAGTTGTTCAACATTCCCTCGACCTCTTCAATGAGTTTCTGGACGTGCAGCGACAAAGAGGGAATATGTGCTTATTGTGGATCATATTTCTTATACTTTCATTTAGCTAATTATTTTATCTTTATTTATAATTCTGAATACTGAAAAGCTTCAGATAAGCTAAACTTTGAAGTGCTACACAACAATGAGATTTTATATTTATATTTTATTGACTAAGGAGCAGTTTAAACAATGGGTTAATAAGTCTCCACAGCAGAATATTTGTAAACTTTCTGTTTTAAACGGTGTCAAAGAAGAATTAAACTAAATGTTTCTTTTGTTTTTGTACTCCCTTTGATTATAACATGCTTCGGTTTTGCAAGCCATGTATTAGTTTTCTCTTTGAAATGTTAGGCTACTTAAAAATAATACCATCATCCAGCATGTCATTTGTACTAAGTATTTTATAATAAGGAACACTTTGATCAGACTTTTTCTTACTTAAACTCAGGGTTCTATGGATTCATAGTACTGATTCCATAAGGATTCTTTTAATCCCGGGTCACATCAAATCTGCATCCGTTTTTTTTCCCTGCTTTATTTGTGTCTGCGTTTGCCACCTCTCTCAAGTTAATTCAGTAAGAAAAATAATGACTTGTGGATGTGTGACTTTGATGCACTGTGTTGCTTTGTTTAACGGTGTTACCGACACATGCTTACCAGCAGCTTGGCGTTGAATATACGCAATAACGGGTTATATGTGAATGAGGTGTGAGGTTTGTTTTGCATCTGGGAGAGAACAGAGTTTTGGAGCTTTTACCTTTGTGGCAGGAAGATCGTTGATCTCCAGCTTAAGTCTGCCGATAGAAGTCCTGCAGAGAATGGCGGCTTCATCGCTGCTTTTCACCTGAAACAGAAAGATGTTTAAGTTTTTTGTTCAATTCCACCATTAACAGTCCTTTTTCTAAATGTTTGAAGTTGTTATCAACTCACCTTTTCCCGGGTCTTTTCGAGAAAGGTGATGGCATCATTAGGATCTGGAAACAAAAACCTTTTTGTTAATACTAAGATATGAAAAAGAAGTATTTGTTGCTAGGAAATATATCCTTTTGCCTGTTATGTTATTTTGTACCTTTCATCTGTCTGGCAACATACAGTATCATCTCCATGAGGGACAATGGGTTGATTCTGATGAGAAAGCAACACACAGATTAGCCTCGAAACAGGCAAAAGTCAGAACATATTTAACTAGAAGGTAATAATGACTAGAATGAGAATTAGATATACTTTTTCTCACCTGTGTTCAAAGTCACTAATGAAGTTGTCATAGAGCTTTAAAAAGGGAAAAATCAGATCAGATCATAGAAAATATCCATCTTGTTATAGAGGCAACACATAATAATTTACATTACAGTTTATCATGAAGAAGGAACTGTATATAGCCCAATGTTTTATATGCTTGTATGTCTGTATTTTGTATTTTAATCAGTGCCAAGGCTTCAAGTTATACGGGTTCTGAATTTATCTTTTGCAACTCAGACATAAAACGGCAGCTACTGTAAATAAACGATAACAAAATATTTCAAATTACAAAACAATAATGCTTGAACAATTCGGTCTAAAACCCTTATTCAAACATAACTTGATTGTCATATCGTAGGCACCTTTCAATCTATCATGATACTGATTTTAAATATTTCACAATACATGCTATGACACTTTGATATACAAGTGCATACTGATTTAATGTACATCCCAACTCATATCTCGCGGTAGTCTATCATAGGATGTGAGTATGCAGTTACCTGTATGAGGCCATCTCCGGTATCAAAGCAAGGATCTTTAACAAAGTCTGATAGCCTGAGTGTCAACTGATGCCACAATCTGTCAAAAAAAGTTCAGATAACTGATTGAGAATCACTTTTAAAATGACACGCATACAATTGTCTTTAAATTCATTACATGATTTGTATACTTCTTCTGACACAGTATACAATGAAAGGTTTCTAATATCTGTGTCTCCAACTTCCAGGTTGCTGGACTGTTTGTCAAGCCAAGTAAGCTTTTTTTAATGTATTTGACTAAAACAGAAATCTGTAGACGATTCCTTTAAACGTCATGATTTTCAGTCAAACCTTCACCTGATATGTATGATCAAACAGCACTACATTGAAGTTATGATATTCAGATGGAGCAGTGACTAAGGACTCATCCATAGTATCCCCGCTAGCAAACAGCTAAGAAAAACATGTTATTAACTTTAATCGAGTACTGGCCTAAATCAATAGTTTGGGTCTAAAGCTTTTAACCGTTAAGTTATATATTCGTCACCGAATGAAGTGTTAAACAAATTAAACATTAAAAACCGAGTTTCAGCTCTGATATTCCTGAAGAAACTTTCAGCTAGCAAGCCAACCCTGAGCTACTGCTAGCTCTGTGCATGACTCAGCGGGCATTTACAATGAATGAGGGAGCTATAGTTAGCTAGCCTAGCGTTAGCGGGACTAGCTGCAGTATTACTCGTTTTACCTTTTGTTGTGAAACTCCTCCAATGTGTGCCACTCCGTCGCCATCTCCGGCGTGGAGCTGTTGCTCTGCTGCTGTTTGAGGAACCCGCTAACATCTCTCATAGTGGAAACAAGACTCTAAAGTACTTATTTAAAATCTGAACTGATGGGTTTTGCTGAATCTTCGGCTAACGTTAGTAGCCAGTCGTGTTGTGGGTCTGCTGCTGGGCGCAAAGGATGATGGGAAATTAAGGAGGCGTTTCTAAAGCTAGCTAACATTAGCTAAGATTTGTTTGGACATTAAAGTGTATTTTTTTGTTAGCAAAACACTTTTAAATGTATCGCACAGTTAATTTAATTTTTTTTTTTTAAAGGAAATAGGTGGCTTGGTAGAAAGCGACCTTGCTGTTTTGTGTAAATAAAGTTAGCTACTCTACATACTCGTACATTAAGGTTACTCACGTCCGAGTCACAAGGTCAAAGGACGACAACAAGCATTATTTTGGGTAGGCAGCTAGCATTAGTTAAATATTTTGTTTTGTTTTTGGTGGAGACACTGTGTTGACAGCTCTTTTCTGTTTGTAGGTATCCTCTTGAGTCAGTTGCAGTCATGGAGTAACACTCTGGGAGCTGTTAAGTTTGTGTTATGACTTCTTTACCGAGCTCCTCATTAATATCACCTGTCAGACTCTTCTGTGTGCACCTGTGCTCAAGAACGAGCAGGACGCTCTCTAAACACGGTGGGTAGAAAACCATAGAGTACTACCTTAGTACACACCTTAGTAGTTGTTAGTATCACAACTTTATGATAAAATAATAGGAAGTATTCTATGATTATTAATTGTGACAATGCTTTTTTTCAAGTAGTTTTGTGTCAAAGGAGTTGGTGCCCTGGTGCAGGTGCATCATCAGCTCTGTGCAGGTATTTAATGCACATGTTTTTCCATAATAGTAACAAAAAACAAAAAACATTGCCCTTTGTGAAGTTGCAACACATATTTTTTGTAAATAAGTAATTAAAGTATAACACTTGAGATGATGGTTAATGAAACAATGATGAAGGATATGATCCAAAAACTAAAAGGGTCCCTTCTAATGCTAATTTTCAGAGAAACTCCCTATGGAGGGAACTTTGGGATTTTAGCCTTTGCAGACCATTTACATGCACAAAAACCTATATAACGTACTACAGGAAAGAAAACCCCCCAAAAAGCATGATTGGAGTGGTGGGAATACAAGAGGGATTATAGTGGGTCAGTGTGGTCCAGGGTTGCTGCAAACCGATCAGGATCCATCTGCTCTTACTAATGTGTATCATATTAAAAATTATTGATCAACAACTCTCCTCATCTTAGTTTTGCTTCTTCATAGACAAACAAACTCTCTCTGGTGGAATGAGACTCGAGGGTTTCTCTCCCGGGGTGGTGGAGGTGCCTCCGAGGAGCAGCAGACCCTGGAGGACCTGGCCCAGAACATCAGAGAGCAGCAGTACAAAAGGGTGGTGGTGATGGCTGGAGCCGGGATCAGCACACCAAGTGGCATCCCAGATTTCAGGTAAAACAATTAGACATGTTTTCCAGTATTGAGATAAACCTGTTAATATCAGGTGTATTCATAAGATAACCCTCTCACAGGTCTCCAGGCAGCGGTCTCTACAACAATCTGCAGCAGTATGACCTGCCTTACGCAGAGGCGATATTCGAGATAGGCTTTTTCCATCAAAACCCAAACCCCTTCTTCGCCCTGGCCAAAGAGCTGTACCCAGGGAATTATCAGCCCAATCTGACCCATCACTTTGTACGGCTGCTTCACAAGAAGGGTCAGCTCCTCAGGATGTACACCCAGAACATTGACGGGCTGGAGAGGCGTATGTGTTTGAAATATTTTGCTGTTTTGTTTTTGATCCTATAAAGAAATAACTGCACATCATTGGTCATTTGAAGCCTAGATGTTTGTTCAACTGTGTTTCAAGTGGCAGGGATTCCTCCTGAGATGTTGGTGGAGGCTCACGGTACTTTTGCCACCGCCACCTGCACGGTCTGCCTGAGGAAATACAAAGGAGGAGAGTTACGGGTGAGTTTAAACCCAAACACTCATTCTACACATTTAGCTTTTATATTTTTAAGAATATTTAAAATAAATGTAATGATTTTGTCCCCTGTTTGCCACGGTGACTATTAAGCGCATTCCCCAAAGTGAAATCTTTCTGTTAAATGTAATTTTTGGTAAACTGTTGGGAGTTCTGCAGACACTGTTGATAATTTGTGCATGTATTTGTTTATTTACTGTTCAAGACATTTTTGATCCTATGATATCTACTCATGTCATTATACCTTCACATAGATGTCCTTTGAAAATAAATAAAAAGTCTTCTTTCTTTAACCAGTTTTTCACATCAGATAAGGTGTTATAATGATGTTTTGAAGATCAGTCACGTTTTTTGAGTTTAAGTTACAAACATGAGGTGTTTCCAAATCTTAGTAATGTCTTGTTTTCCTTCATTTTATTGCAGTTTTACTAGGATTTTTGATTTGTAATGTAACTATTATTCACTTTCCATCTTGTTTCCGTGTTTCCTCAGTCAGATGTGATGTCAGGTGTCGTGCCGAAGTGCCCCACCTGTAAAGGCGTGGTGAAGCCCGACATTGTGTTTTTCGGGGAGGAGCTTCCGTTTAACTTCTTCAAGTATCTCACAGATTTCCCACTGGCAGACCTCTTGATCGTCATGGGAACATCACTGGAGGTGAGCGCCACAGATTTTAAACTACATCTTGCTACCTGTAATCTGACATTTTCCGAGTATAAACAATATGTTGAAGGGACATAAGTGAGGGACATGTTCAACACTGGAGAACAAACATTGAAACTGACAGTTGTACTTCACGCAAAATCATTTCTTTCTTGTGTCCAGATTTCAAAGTTCAGGTTAAAAATAAAAAAGCTCCCAGTGGGTCACCAGGAAACCTTTTCGTATACAAAATATGTAAAACAATGTTTTATCAAAGAATATGTCTTTGTTGCCATTTTTGCAATATATTTTGTTATACGATAAGAGGGACAGGACAGGGTTTTATGTAAAAAGTCAAATAGTTGTACTTTATGTTGTTGAGATTCTTGGTTGTAATAACTTTGCTTCACTCTGTTTTTCTGTCTGCATCATCACCATGAATAAAGAAAAAAATACCCCCCAAAATGATATTTGTCTGACACCTTTCAACAACAATTCCTCTTGCTTTAAAAGCTGCTGTTTGACTCTCTGTGCTGCAGGTGGAGCCCTTTGCCAGTCTGGCGGGGACTGTGCGCCCCTCTGTGCCCCGTCTGCTCATCAACAGGGATCGGGTGGGTCCGTTCACCGGGCGCCGCAGTCCTCATGATGTGGTGCAGCTGGGCGACGTGGTCAGCGGTGTGCAAGCCCTGGTGCAGGCCCTCGGCTGGACTCAGGAGCTGGAAGCTCTGATGGCCGCTGCTGCTGAGAAAGTGAGTTATGATTTTTTGCTTACAAGCTCCCACTTTTTTACGTACCCAGTTGCTGTGGCTCTGCACTCAGGTCCATGTAAGTTGAATCAAATAGCCAGGGGCGGCGGGTACTGTAGGCTAGGGAAGGCTAAGCCTTTCCAAATATTTGTGTCACTGCATCCTGGTAAAATAAAAATATAATGTATAATGTTTGTGTCTTTGACTAGCGCTGCTATGCAGCCACCTGTGCCCTGTTCTACGAAGCCAGTTCAACAGACCCTGGATATGTTTGAGTTATCTTAACTAACCCTAACAAACGAGATCTCGCTAAGCGGTCCTACGACGCTGGTTATCAACTCGGTAAATCAAGCCAGGGTTTCTCTCTCCAGCTGAGAGGGCATTCACGTGAAAGTTAGCTACATTTGACCAATCACAAACAGGGACAAGTGNACACACACACACACACACACACACACACACACACACACACACACACACACCGGTGGGTCAGCTATCTTTCATGTAAACTTTACATGATGTGTGTGTGTGTGTGTGTGTGTGTGTGTGTGTGTGTGTGTGTGTGTGTGTGTGTGTGTGTGTGTGTGTGTGTGTGTGTGTGTGTGTGTGAGGCTTTACAATGTAAAGCATACATACATACACACACTTACTCCAGAGTGGAAATATTGCGTGGCGTCTCTTCTGAGAAACATCCAGCTCGGGGGCATAATGCTGGTTTCTGGTTTAAGCCGTGGGAGGGGGGGCGGAGGGAGAAGGAGGATGTGACACCAGAGGATATTGGGAAGTCTTGTTACAGTAACATAAGGCAGGCTTACAGTCGTTGCCACACACACACATACACTAACAAAAACAGCAGCCGACCCCCTGCTGTGTACCCCCTTACGCCCACGCACACAAACAAGCTAATAAAAGCACAGAGCCGCACAAACACCCACCAGGTTTCTCATTTTTTCGCCAACGATGGAAGCTGGCTCTGGCTGAGCCAAAGGCATGTCAGAAACTAGTTAAGGCTCCATCCTCTTAAAGTCCAAATGAATTACATTTAATCCCCTGTTTGTCAAAATCCCAAAGCTATTTATTATATGAAAAAAAAGGTGTGAATCTTCATATTATAGGGGCTCAAAACTGAATCATTTTAGGTCATTGTATAATAAATAAAATGGTTTTTCTATTATCAAATATTTGGCAACCAAGTCATCCATTAGCTTTTAAACGTTGTAGCTCCGTTTATGCTGCCACTAAACTACCATGCTGTTAAAGGAAGATGGGGTTCTTGCATCCCTGACCAGCAAGAGTGTTTGTGTGTGTGATTGTACAACGTGTGCTCCAGGCAGGCAGGCGCGCACACACACACACACACACACACACACACACACACACACACACACACACACACACACACACACACACACACACACACACACACACACACACACACACACACAATGGAGAACTTAGTTTTATCCTTGCTCTCTTTTTCCATTTTGTAAATGGTAAAGGATATTTGGTTTGTTCTAAGTGGAGATGTAAGAGGTCTTTATCCATAGTCATTGTCTTATAGACAGTAGATGTGGTCGGCAGGATTCAGTTTGGAGACACAGACATGAGTTACAGCTTATTTACTTTTCTTGCCCCCACCTCTGAGTGTGTTATGTCTGCCCGACAGGACACATGTTTTGAGAAGCGTGTTTGCACTTTTTCGCTTTCTTTGATGTGCTGCTTGGGAGTAATCTGCGCACAAATGTGGGGCACGAACACACACACACACACACTGAGGCTGATCTCCAATGTCTAAACCCTGTCTAGACTACAAAGTCGAGCCCAGTGTTCCTAATAGCAGGAACGTGTGTGTTTATGCCAGCGTATTTAGAAACAATAGTACAGGTAACACATGCCAGACTGATTTCCTGTATATAATCTGATCCTTTTACATCTTCCACATTAAAACACTTGGTAGCTACATTTGCTGAACCTGTGAGAGGATTCTTACACCTCTATAGGACACTTCAAGTATCTCCTGCTATCGCATACATAGCATGCAATATCCAGGCATCTGTTCATAAGCAGACATCTGTTTCTATGCAATATGGGAGCACATGAACAGACGCCAAAATGGCAATGTGTTTAAAGAAATGTGTTCTCAGGTCCATTATTGACAACAAATTAGATTTTGGATTAGTTCAATGTTGTGTATCCTGTGATAAGACATACAGTATCAAATATAACAAATGTCCCACTGCCAGGGTTTGCATATCAACTGGGGACAACCCTGCAAAGATGTCAAACGTGGTCAACAGTGTGAGGAATTTGGATACAAGTAATAGCAGGTTTCTGTCAGGCTGCATGGTGGCCTAGCAGATACAGAGATGTCCCATAACACAGAGGTCCCAATCCCAATCCCTGCAGTTTGTATGTCCTCAAGCTCAACTCTAAAGACATATACAATAAATTAACTACATTATCAAAACGTGACCCTACATAAAAGACCACCAGCGTCCCTAAATTGCTTCTCTCTCTTGCTTCTCTCTCTTTGCCCTAATTGAGGACAAATAGAGCGAATGAATGTGCCCACAGGAAGTGACATCAAACCTGAAGGGCGAAATACTGCCTTCACAACAGCAGCAGTTGTCTCTGTGCAGAATGTGTGGATCTGCATTCACAAACCCGAATTATGAGTCAGCAACATGAGTTTAGAATTAGACCCTTCAGAAAAACGCGGGCTAAAATCCTTGATTATGCGATTAAACATGCAGGGTTTTTATGTGATTTTATGCGGTGAAATTGCGGGAACTTGTGAAATATGCGGAAAGTTGCAAGGAGCTGATTGTGGACTACAGGAAGCAGCAAGGAGAGGGACACGCCCCCATCGCCATCAATGGGACTACGGTGGAGAGAGTCAGCAGCT